TAATCCTAGCTCTCAGGAGGCAGAGACAGCTGTTCTCTGTGAGTTCCAGGCCAACCTGATCTACAGAGCAAGTTCCAGGCCAGGCTCTTAAGCATTACAGAGAAATGCTGTCTCGAAAAAACAAAACAAAAAAAAAAAAAGAAAAGAAAAGAAAAGAAAAAAAATACCCAAAACAACTCTGCCCCCCCCCCTGAAAAAAAACAGCAAATTTTGCCAGGCAATGAGGTGGCTCACAGCTTAAGCCCGCCATTTGGGAAGCAGCATCAGGCCGACCTTTGAGAGTTCGAGGTCAGTCTGGTCTATATGAACTACAGAATAGGCTCCAAAGCATTACAGAGAAATCCTGTCTCTACAAACCAAACACCAAAAAACTAAAACACCTCTCCCACCCCAATAAAACTGTAAATCATGCCAGGCGACAATGAGGCTCACACCTTAATCCTTGCACGAGGAGGCAGAGGCAGGCAGATTTCTGTGAGTTCAGGCCAGCCTGGTCAAGAGGAGTTCCAGGCCAGACTCCAAAGAAATACACAGAAACCCTGTCTCGACAAACCAAAAATCAAAAATCAAAAACCAAAAACCAAAATAACCTCCAGCACCCCCCCCAAAAACCAGAAAATCGTGCCAGGTGACTTGGTGGCTCACACTTTAAGACCAGTACTCAGGAGACAGAGGCAGGGGAATCTATATGAGTTTGAGGCCAGCCTGGTATACAGAGAGAATTCCAGGCCAGATTCCAAAGCAACACAGAGAAACCCTGTCTCGAAAAACCAAAAACCAAAAACACCTCCTCCACCCAAAAAGAAACAGTAAATCCTGCCAGCCTGACAGGTGGATCATACCTTAATCCTGGAACACACGAGGCAGAGGCAGGCAGATCTCTGTGACTTAGAGGCCTGCATGGTCTACAGATGGAGTTCCAGGCTAGGTTTAAAGCCATACAGAGAAACCCTGTCGTGAAAAACAAAAATCCAAAACACAAAAACACCTCCCCAACTCCAATAAAACAGTAAATCCTGCCAGGCAACTTGGTGGCTCACACCTTAAGCCCAGCACCTGGGAGGAAGAGGCAGTTAGATTTCTGTGACTTATAAACCAGCATGGTGTGCAGAGGAAGTTCCATGCCAGGCATCAAAACAATACAGAGAAACCCTGTCTTGAAAATCAAAAACTCAAAAACCAAATACACCTCCTCCACCCCAATAAAACAGTACATTGTTCCAGGTGATGTGGTGTCTCACACCTTAATCCCAGCACACAGGATGCAGAGGCAGGCAGATCTCTGCAAGGTCAAGGCCAGTCTTGTCTAGAGAATGATTTTCAGGCCAGGCTCCAAAGCATTACAGAGAAACCCTGTCTCGAAAAACCAAACACCAAAAACACCTCCCTCACCCCAATGAAACAGTAAATCATGCCAGGCGATTGGGTGGCTCACACCTTAATCCCAGCACTGGGGAGGCAGAGGCAGGTGGATCTCTGTGAATTCAAGGCCTGCCTGGTCTACAGAGTGAGTTCCAGGACAGGATCCTAAGCAATAGAGAGAAACCCTGTCTCAAAAAACCAAAACCAATAAACAAAAAACAAAAACATCTAGCCTCTCAAAAAAACCAGTTAATCGTGCCAGGCAACGTGTTAGCTCACACCTTAATCCCAGCACTTGGGAGGCAGAGGCAGGTAGATCTCTGTGAGTTCGAGTCTAGCCTGGTCTACAGGAGCTACAGGACAGCCTCCAAAGTAATACAGAGAAACCCTGTCTCAACCCCTCCCCATGAAAAAACAGTAATTCCGGGACACTCTGAGTGTTGATGAGAGAAAATTTTCAGCAAACTATGGCAGTGCCATTCAGCTTCTGCTGTCAGACCTAAGAAGCACCAACAGTGGGCGCCAGGTGAGATTTTCCCAAGGGGCTAAGGGAGATATGCACTTTCCCAGATCCCATTAGCTGATTGAGGGAAGCATGATTTTGTCTAGGACCTGTTACCTGACATAGGGAGGTGTGCGCTTGTGCAGGTCCGGTCAGCTGACTGAGGTTGGCGCTATTTTGCTTAGGCCTCTCAACTGACATAGGGAGGTGTGCGCTTGCGCAGGTCCTGTCAGCTGACTGAGGGAGGCGTGGCTTTTCGTAGGCCCTGTTAAGTGACTCGTGCAGGTCCTGTCAGGTGACTGAAGAGGCGCGATTTTGCCTAGACCCTGTTAACTGATATAGGGAGATGTGCGCTTGCGCAGGTCCTGTCAGCTGACTGAGGGAGGCGCGATTTTGCTTAGATCCTGTCAGCGGACAGAGCGAGGTCTGCACTTGTGCAGGTTTTGTCTGCTGACTGAGGGAGTTGAAAACATCTAGGAGGTCTGTGATTCAGGTCAGTACTACGAGGAATTTCCAGTTCTGCTAGACCTCTTCACTAAAAGTGGAGGTGCAAGGTGGGGTACTATCAAAAGAATCTACTTTGTTTCTTATTGGTCTAGGTGTTATCGAATTAGTTTATACACATCTAGATTTCTGGTGTGAGAACTAAGCAAGGTGAATGCTTTATTTGCAGGTGGAATCCTTGAGTCCTTACAGGGAGGGTTCTTGCCCTACTGAATCCACTCTATTAAGCCCATGGAGTGCTCCTCTTTTCTGCGTGGAAGGTTGCAACAAATGACCTAATAGAATATAATGGGTAGGGATCAGATTTCCAGTACAGGGAGTTCTTGTTGAAAACCAAAATAAAGCAGAGAGGCCCTTGTGAGGATGCGAGTACAGGAATTGTTCCCTAAACAAGAATTCTCACAAATCTCTGCCCCCAGCTGGCCTGAGAGGCTTCAACTATGAGCCCCATATGAATTTTGCCTACTTTGCTTCCTCTTGGGAAGTATGTGGCTTCCTTTGGAGGCTGAGGTATCCTTTGGGTCTATCAGTACACTCCTTAAAAGAGGAGACAGATGTCAAAAGAGCCAACTCCATTTCCAGTCCTGTGAGGACCCAGAGAAAGCTGTTCTCTTTTCATAGTGTGTCTAGATTTTCACTCCAAGGACGAAGGAAGGAGAGGAATATATTTGTGGGTAAAGAACTTGTGTAGATAGAAGGAAGGATCCTAGAATGCAGAGATATCATTCAGTAGACAGAATTCCATGGTTGAAGTGTCCCTTATCTGTGCCTGGATAGTCACAGAAAACAACATAATGGGATGTAATGGGGAGGCTACTGGTTCTGCAAGGGAGGGGTCTTGGGGAAAATCAGTAGAGAAGCTCTGAGTGATGATCAAAGGACACATCGCCAAAGTAGGAAGTCTCAGAGAGTCCTCTATTTCCTGTCACGTCCGAGAATCTTTACAGTGGTTAGCCCATTGAGGCCTGAACTTATTAAACTTATTACTTTTAATGGTGACCGAGGAAGGTCCAGGTCATTTCAAGTTTACATTACTGAGGTCAGAACAGTATAGCATCCCTGGCTCCATTTGATATGTTGAGGATCTAAAAAGCATTTATTCTATAATAGTGAGGTTCCTTAGCAATATATCCCTATTGTCAGTATGGAGAAACCCTGAGCAACAGTGGCAGTATATAGGTCATCCTAATTTCCCCTGCGATGCCAGGCCTTGAAAATAAGACTCAGCATCTTTCTAATCAATTAGAGATGAATTTCTAGGAGTCGTCTGGATTTAAGACCCTGACTTTTTGGATTTAGTAGATCAATTCAAGTCTCATAATCTATAGTATCCCACTAAAACTGTCCCCTATGGGGTCATCTTAGCCTTGTGTGGCCCCAGTAAACTTGGCACACTAAGTTTTGCACAGAGAGCCTCAGAAAGGAAAGTGTTATCTAACAGAGCAACCAGTGGACTCAGTGAGCAGAATACCTCTAGGCATTAAGTGCAGTCAAGTTGGAGGTTTTCCATCCTGACTGGAGGATCTTTATCCAGTTAAGTCAGAAATGCAGAGCAGTATTCCTGCACTCATTTCTCTGAGGATTCAGGCTAAGGGTATTTTTATTTTGGGATTCTGACTCCCCTGACCAAGACCTTGTTCTGAGGCACGATGTCTGGGTGGTCAAGGTCAGAAACTTAAATGATGACTGAGGGAAACAATTGTACAAAAATGCATTTTCAGATATTCTACTCTTCCTCTCAGTCACAGTCATCTCCAGAAAAAGGTCAGTATATACCAGTTTCTTTACTCCAAGAGAGGGTAAGTTAAATTTATTGTACACACCCGTTCTCCATAGGAGAACCAAAACATTACCTGACTGTAGGTCAAAATCCTAAAAGAGGACTTGTGCTCCTTAACTCCCCTACTAGAAAGAGACCACGACAGAATCCCTTCTCCCATACCTGGGTTACAGCTCTGAGGAAACAAGGCTTGGAGATCAGTTATGTGTATACTTTCTTTTTTATGATCTTAGCCTACTGAGTCTCTAATATGAGGGGCGGAGCATCGGGTCCTATCTAAAGACACAGCGAGGACCTTGAATGAGAACTGAGGAACCTCAGTAAGCTTGTGTCAGCTCTTAGAACTGAGTGACCCACAGAAAGTGTTGAGGGCTCAGGTGTTCTTTAATTTCATTTTAGGAGCCCAAAGAAGTGGAGGAGGGCCTTAGATGGAGTTATCAAAAATTACTGCACCACGGGAAGAGGCCCAGGCACTGCTACTAATTTGATATGATAATAGCGCTGCCGTTGAAGCTGAGAGATCTTCTATCTCTAGAGGAAAGGGGTCCACCAGAATTAAGCCTGTCACCACCACTTCCATTCCCAGTGCACACCAGATGGGTGGCAGGCTGCAGTCGAAAGCACACTTTAAGTAGTCCCGTAGGGCTGTCAGAGGACAGGCTGATGAGAACAAGGGCCCACTGAGTTCTTAGGACAGTACTTCTAACTTCTGCAAAGGTAGGCTCCTTAAAGCAAAGAGTTGTGTCTGTTTCTGTGCTGGAAGTGCTTATGCAATGCCATTCTCTCTCCAGGTGACTGCATCGCTGCCTTGCTAGTCTATACTCCGGCTTGCTGTTCCTGAACAAGATCATCATGCCTCGGGGTCAGAAGAGTAAGCTCCAAGCCCAAGGAAAATGCCACCAGACTGAAGGTGAGACCCAGGATCTCCAGAGTGTTCAGGCCCCTGCAAGAGAGGAGGAAAGATCCCCCCATACAAAATTAGCTTATAGGCTACAAAGCTCTTCAAAGGTGCCCCAGAGAGCCTTTTCTACCACTGAGTCTAAGGGTGTTTCTACTAGAAGATCATGTGAAGGAGCTAACAGTGTAATTAAAAGCAAACCACATTCTTCCCAGGCCTCATCCTCTACGGTGAAGCGCCCTAGAAGCTCTCTTGTTGGTACAATCCAGATGGTAGTGAAATATATGATGCACATGTATAAAATGCAAAGGCCCATTCTGAAAGCAGATCTGTTGAAGATTATCTCCAAAGAGCATAGAAAACGCTTCTTTGAGATCCTCCAAAAAGCTTCTTTCAACATAGAGGTGGTATTTGGTGTAGACTTAAAGGAAGTAGATTCTCTAAAGCACTCTTACACCCTTGTCAGCAAGATGAATCTCCCTAACAATGGCACTGTGAGTAGAGGCAGGGGATTCCCCAAGACTGGACTGCTAATGAACCTTCTAGGTGTGATATTCCTGAGAGGAAACTGTGCAGCCGAGGAAAAGATCTGGGAATTCCTGAATAAGATGAAAGTATATGATGGAAAGAAGCATTTCATTTTTGGGGAACCCAGGAAGCTTATCACTAAAGATTTAGTGAAACTTAAATACCTGGAGTACCGGCAAGTACCTAACAGCCATCCTGCAAGCTATGAGTTTCTGTGGGGCCCAAGAGCTCATGCTGAGACAAGCAAGATGAAAATCTTGGAGTTTTGGGCTAAGATCAACCATACAGTTCCCAATGCCTTCCAGTCCTGGTATGATGAAGCTTTGAAAGACGAGGAAGAAAAAACTGGAACCGAAGTTACACACAGTGACACATTAACCCACAGTGGTTGAATGTCCCACAGACATGTCAAACAGGTCCTCCCACACCTAGTGGAGTTAGTGTATTTTGATTTTACTTTGTACTTCAAGAGGACAGTGAGTGAAGGCGCCGGTGAAGGACTGTTTGTAACTAGAGGGAACATGGTGAATAGCTTTGTGTTCTTGCTCTGTGTGACCAATTTGGAAAGTTATCTTTATTTTGTTTAATTTTTCAAGCGTTCTTTGTATCTTTCAATATGATTAACTCAACAAACATGTTCATCACATGTTAAAAGTTAGAGTTTCATTATAAAAGAAGTTGGAGAAACTTTATTAGCGAATCTATTCCAAGATAAGATAGTGATAAGTGTTTTTAATTACTTGAAAATAATTCAACAGTAAAATATATGAATAGAGAAATAGAAAAGATGGTAAAGTGGTTAATATTTGCATTAAAATTTTTTCTCTGTATTTGATAAAAATAAAAGTGTTAAATAAATATCTTTGCTTCATTTACCTGGGAGGAGGTTGATTAGGGGAAGCAATACAATAAAGATGTATTGTATGGAAAATTTTTAATTAAAAATGTGGACATAAGTAATATACAGTTAGGCCCAAATACTCATATGCTTACTTGTTCCATAAACATCATTTGACCATATACTCTTAGAAGGCTCCATGCTAGTACTGGAGGGCTAAGATAAAGAAGATGTAGTAAGTTACCAATACAATTAGTGGAAGAAAAAAGTGTTTTTTGTTGTTGTTAGTGGATTTGTTTATTTATTGTTTTGAAACAGGGTTTCCCTCTGTAGCCTTTGCTGTCATGGAACTTGCTGACCTTGAATTCAGAGATCCTCCTGACTTTGCCTCCCAAGTGCTTGGATTAAAGGCATGTGCCACCACTACCCAACTAGGAAGGGATTTTTACAAGAAAGTAATGAAATGAGAATTATTTGATTAATGCCAAGTTGGGTCTTAGGAAACTTCAGACCGTCCCATGGGAAATAATTTATATGAGACTACCAGATGGGCTAGTTTAGGATGGAGGAGTGACCCTCAGAATTGAGAAATAGAGCTGGGAAAGGGAAAAGACTTTATTCTTTATTGGGGGGAGTTGTAAGAAAGCTGGCAGGGATAGGAAGTATCCTGTAACCCTGTGCCAGGAGTTAAAGAACGCTGAACGACTTGAGTTTTCTATACACAGAGTCTTAGAAATGACTGATAATCTCAAGGAAGGTAGGATGGACACCTAGAAGACATGATGCTGTGTTCTGCCGAGGGCTGGGGAATCCAGAGCATGGTTCTTAAAAGGGCATTAATCGGGTTACACTGGGTGCAATTTGGCAACTTTCAAACATTTTTAGTAGGGGTTAAAGGAATAAAATTTAAAGTGGATTAATTGGAATGGAAGCTCAAAGGAAGGGAAGTTTTAGAGTCTTTGGATTACATTATAAAAACATTGTGCTGTCTCAACTGAAGAGAGTCACACTAAAATTGATTTTTTTTCCCATAGGAAAACATAGTACTTAGTTTTCCTTGCTAAGTAGTACTTTATCTGATAGTGTTTTCTTTGTCCTGGAATATGATATAATTTCTGCTATGGCTTCTGGTTTTAAAAGGAGTATGGTCACTTTAACATCAAAAGAAAATGAATAATAACAAGAATTGGTATTTTACAGAATATTTACATGATGTTACATATCTTATACACACTTAAGCATTCCTACAAGACAGGGATTATCATAATCACTTCACATATGAAAAGTCTGAATTTCACAGATTTTGATAATGTTCAATTTCACATAGCTGGTAAGCTACAGACAGGGCTTGGACTAAGGCCTTTGGTCTGAAGTAAAAGGAGATATTAGGAAAGCAACATCTACTTGGCTCCTGGACACAAGATGTACTGAGAAGATCGGGCCTAAACATTGGATATGGTTTAGGTAGAATAGAATCAGGTGCACATGGGCTGGACTGCCATGCAAGATATATGTCCTGGTCCAAGTCTGGAGTTTGGTGATAGATGTAGGAGATTGGAGAGGGCATGTGGGATGAGTCAGACTCAGTTGGTGAAGGACGTGCAGGATATGGCTGAGTTAACAGGTTTGACATGGCTCGAAAGGGGCCTCTAGATTGGGAGAAGGTAGGACATGTCCTGGATCCTGGAAAAAACTGTTCAAGATCTGGTTTGGCCAAGAGGTCAGATGAGGTTTCAGGCAGTTCTTGGCAGAAATGTAGACTTTGGGGACAGCTTAGGCAGGGGTGACCATACTAGGCTAAGAAGGACCCAGGCTAGAACTTGGGCATTGGGGATGGTGCATAGAGGATAGAATAAGGTGGTTACACCAGGATAGACCCTGGTGAAGGATCCTGATATTTTTTCTAAAGAAAGATTTTGTGTCTAATCCACTAGATTTAAATACATAACTAAAGCAATAAAAATAATCTGAATGCAGAGGAAAGAAATGAAGGAAAAAGAGAAAATATTGGTAAAAGCTTGGTTACATATGCAAATCAGATACATTCAAAAGATATGTACTCATATTCCATTGTGTTGCACAATATCTTTTTTTTAAAAAATGCAACATTTTTAATGTATACATATGAGGCTAAATATAGCTTGTAATGAAAAGAAAAAAGAACGAGCCTGTATTTTTCTAAAGAAACATTATGATTTTCCTACAGTACAGAGAAATGGATCAGTTTTGGGAATTTGATGTTTTCCAGTGACTCTGTGATCTAGGAACACGAATAAATTTTATGAGATCCCTATAATAATACAAGATAAAGAACATGCCAGGCAGGGCTGCCAGCCAGAGGATCAGTGACCTCAATAATAAAGGTTCTCAGGGTCTGTCTTATCCAAAGTAGAATTGCGTTGCATCAGTAGGGGTAGACTCTGAAATCTAGGAGAAAGTGAAGACCCTATGAGGAAGTAGAGAAGAACTCACCCAGACCAATGTAGTTTATAGCATCCTGACCCTGTGGTCAGCTCAGAGTTCCCAGACAGCCTCAACTGATTCAGGCTAGTTTCTCCTTTGGAGGTCTCTGGAAGATGAAGACCTTAGCCTCAGACTTGGGTGGCTCAGATCTTAAGGTAAAGGATTTTTTTTAAGGTATGGCAGGTATAAAGTTGTGAATAGTGCTAAAACTCCCAAGCCTCTATCAGTGAGACCCCATAGAATTCTCTCTCCGATGTTAGAGACAAAACCACCCACACACCCTGCTTAGCAAAGCAATGGCCCTACTGTTAGGATCCCGACTTAGGAGTCCCATTGAGAAATCCAACAAAAAACATAAATATGTTTGATGTTTGTCTGTGTGGGGGCGTGGGGATAAGGGTGGGGGGAGATCATAGCAGTGGTTGTTGTATGTTGTCAGGCACTAGCCACTTCTGTTTTTTCGAGTCCTCAGGGTCTCTTACTGGCCTAGAATTTGCAAAGGACACTAGGCTGGCTGGCTAACAAGCGCCTAAGATCTGCGTGTCTGTCAGCCCAGCACTAGGATTACGAGGACACACCACTGCATTCAGCTTCTGAAACTCAAATTTCAGGTTCACAGCTTTTCAAGGAAAATGCTTTGCTGAATATGATGTCTCTTCAGCCCTTGTCTAACACATCTTAGAAAACAAGGATGTTTGTGGACTGATAAGGCAAGTCACCTTCGTTTTCATGAATGAGGGCTACATGAAAGGTGCAGAGTTTTACATGCACTCACACACGCACGCACACGTACAAGGGAAAAGACTTTAGGTCAAGAAATAGGAAGTCCCAGACCCTGCTAGACATTAAAATACAGTGAGGGAGAACTGAGATGACAACTCCCAAATAAAAATGTAATTAAACAAATGTCCTGGTTTCTTGGCCCCTTGCATCCAGTCCTTAAATTCAAGAGAAAAGAATGAGCAGAGTCTTTCATATGATTTTTTAGAAACTGACTTTATTTTAGAGCAGTTTTAAGTTTATAAAAAAGTGAGCAAAATGTACTGTGTTCCTATATAACTTCTGTTCTTAGACATTCACAACCTCCCTGATATCAACATCCCACACCATAATGATAGATTTGTGATACTTAGTAAATATGCCTTTACATGTCATTATATCACACCCTAAAGTACATAGTTAATGTTATAGCTCACACTTGGTGTTGCATATTATGTGGTTTTTGACAAATTCTTAATATATATTCAAAATTCAATAATCATACCATTTCACTGAAAAATACCTCTTGCTCCTTATGTTCATGTCATACTGCCTTCTGAGTGCTAGTTACTGCCAACATTTTACTATCTGACACTTTTTCCTTGCTTTAGAATGTCATATAAAGTATTCACTATGCATATATATGTATGTTATATGTTTGTTCTGTATCTTTTTATGGTTTAAATCTCAGTTTATGGACCCTTTACCATACAAAATTCAAGCTACACCAATTTGAAGTAGTAAGGTCACAGCTACAGGACAGGACTTTAGTTTTAGTAGCATAGTCTGAATGCACCAAAGTTTATCTCTTGATTACAAGCCGACAAACATCTTGACCACTACAAATTTGGGTAACTACAGATAAAACTTCTATAAATCATTATGTGCAGATTATTGCATAGATGTTAAGTTTTTTTGTTCTTTTGAGACAGGGTTTCTTTGTGGCTTTAGAGGCTGTCCTGGAACTAGCTCTTGTAGACTAGGCTGGTCTTGAACTCACAGAGATCCACCTCCCTCTGACTCCTGAGTGCTGGGATTAAAGGCATGTGCCACCAATACCTGGGGATGTTAAGTTTTTAACTTGTTTGGGTAAACATCAAGTAGTATAATGGTTGTACTCTATAATAAAAGTCTGAATGGCTTTGTAGGAAACTTCCAAATTGTCTTCCAAAGTGATTAAACTATTTTACATCTTTGCCAGTGATAAACGTGTGTTCATGTTGTACAGTGTTGATGCCTACATCACTTGCACTTCAGCCCACATTTCTGTCATCTCTCTGACCAGGCATCATGTCTCACACTAAAAAGGGTCATTCATGTACATGCG